ATAAAGAACTAAAAAAAATCAGACCCCTCCAAATATAAAGACCCAATTCAGAAATGGGCATCTGAATTGAACAGACATTTTTCAAAGAAGTAAAAGCAGCAAATAAACATACAAAAAAAAATGGTCAACATCATTGGTCATTAGAGAGATGCAGATGAAAACAACGCTGAGATTCCACCTCACCCCAGAAAGAATGTCTGCTTATCATGAAATCAACCAATAACAAATGCTGGTGGGGTTGTTGGGAGAAAGGAACCCTTCGTTGTTGGTGGGAATGCAGACTGGTGCAACCACTGAGAAAATCAATATGGAGATACCTCAAACAACTAGGATTGGAAGTCCCATTTCACCCAGCTATTCCTCTACTGGGTATCTTCCCAAAAGAATTAAAATACCACAGTGATACATGTGCACCCATGTTTATAGCACCAGTTTGTAATAGCTAAAACTTGGAAACAGCCCAATTGCCCATCAACTGGAGACTGGATAAAGAAGATGTGGTTTTTTAATAAAATGGAGTACTACTCAGCCATAAAGAATGAGAAACTAGAGACATTTATAGCTAAATGGATGCACATTGAGGCCATACTCTTAAGTGAAATAAATAGGACACACATGTGTAAATACCGAATAGTTTCTCTGGTATGAAAAACTAAAAGTGTAAATAAGAATCAAAATGTATAATTGATATTGTGAAATAGGCAGAAAATATCTAAAGGAATAGGGGATGTGGGAGCAGAAGGGGAAAGGAAAGAAGGGAAAAGAAAAAAATTATGAGAAAAGGAAAAACATGGAAACAAAGTCTTTGTAAAAAGGGAAGGGTGGAGGGGGTGAACGGAGGGCAGGGGAATGGGGAAAAAATAAGAACCAAGATACATCATGTAAAGGTACAAGGTCCCAATGATAAATGTAACTGTATTGGATACCTAAAATGTACCAGTAAATGTAATGGAAAAAAATGTAAATATTGTGGCATTTCCCTGGGGAAATATTCCCTGGGGCTGCAGCTACTCTGGGCAGTTGCTCCAAAGTCTCCCTTCTCAGACACACTGCCTCTGAACCTTTGTTGCCTAGATAACTTCTACTTATCTCTCAGGTCTGAATTTCTCTGTCACTACACAACCCAGACAAGAAAAGATTATTTCCTTCGCAAGTAATCCTTTCTGCACACTCTCCAAATTTGCAGTACTTGTTTAAAGTCTGCAAAAGATCATAAGCTCCTTGAAGCATAGTCAATACTAGTCATTATTAATGCTTCTTGTAATGAAATATAAAAGAAGGGGAAATACATTTCTTCATCCCTCTCACAATAAAAAGGCTTCTCAAAAAATAAGGTGTCTAAATAAATTTATTGCAATAAAAGACATGTTGCTGTTAATCCACCTCAGAATACTCGGCCTTGCTTCAAGTATGCATATCCCATTGTTCTTGCCTCTTTCTAAAGCAGTTCTTGCAGTCTTCTTTCACGGATGTTTCTACTAGGTATGATCAAAAATATAATGTCTGCTGCTGCTGAGCATGGAAATGCAGACCCGTAAAAACATTACAGTGTGTCCTCACCCACATTATTCACTGAATCTGGTACCATGCGCCTTTGGGCTCTTCCCCAAAGTCAAAACGATCATAAAAGTTAAATGTTTGGAATTAGTTCAGGACATCAAGGCAACTATGCCAACATAATTAAAGACACAAAGGAGGACTTCCAGAACTGCTTTGGTAAGTAGTAAGAATGATAAAATGTGTTTGAAGCACTATTCTGATAAAGAATGATGGCATTGTGTCTTTTACTCTAATTAATTTTTTTAAATTTAAACATTCACTGTATTTTTTTATTACACCTCCTATGTTAAATACTCAGCACTGCTTTAGGCCCATATAGCAGTTAGTCCCTCCCCTAATGGAGCTTACATTATAGAGAAGGAAGGAGGTAATAAATAAATATAAAGTACATTAAATGCTAAGTGCTACAAAGAAAAACAAGAGATAGAGGATGCTAGACCATGATACAGGTAGCATTTGCGAGAGCATGTCGAAGAAGGTGGGCTAAGGAAGTGACATTTAAATGGAAACCTGACTGAAGAGAGGTGGGAAAATCTGAGGGATAGTGTTCCAAGCAGAGGGAGCCACAGTGTCAGAACAGCAGGACTGAGCTGAGCTTTTCCACAGCAAGAAGGCCCTGGAGGCTGGAAGACAGTGCGTGGGTGAGAGTGGTAGGAAATGAGCCACAGAGATGAAGCTGAAGTGTGACAGAAATCACACCTCACCTGACAGCTTTCAGCGTACAGGCTCAGGAAGAACATGGTATGATGTCTCCTTCAGGCCATGTGGATAAGGTGTATATGGAACATAAATTCTGTGTTTAGACTCCAGATGATATATGTGTATGCAAGTCAAGTATTCCAGGATCCATAATCTGAAATTATTTATTTTCTAATTCCTTTCTGATCCAGGCACAGTGGTGCATACCTCTAGACCCAGCTGTTCGGGAGACTGAGGCAGGAGGATCACTTGAGCCCAGGAGTTTGACACCCGCCTGGGTAACACAGTGAAACTCTGTCTCAAAAATAATTTTTTCTCCCTTCTGGTAGTTTCAGTGGGTTCAGGAGAGAGCTGAGTTGTAATGAGATATGGGTGGTGGGTGGTGAACTAGGCTCCATCAGTAGCTAGGTGAACAAGACTCAGGTCAGGGCCTCATCAAAATTACAAATTACTTATCTTTAGGTTTCCTGAAGAACAGTGAAAACATTCATTAATCCTTGGATGTCAATTATCTTTACTTCTTAATAGTCAACATTAATATTTACTATAGTGAATCTAAGATAGATCTGTTTTTACTTTTAATTTTGGACTTACAGAAAAGTTCTAAAGGGGCTGGGGATTTAGCTCAGTGGTTCCACCACCTGCCTCAAAAGCGCAAGGTCCCGAGTTTGATCCCCAGTACCAAAAAAAAAAAAAAGGAAAAGTTCTAAAAATAGTCAAAGAATTCCCAAATGTCAGCATCTTACCATATTCGCTTTAGCATTCATCTGTATGAACATACTTTTCTAAACCTACTGAGAATAAGAACAGATGTAATATTCCTTTATCCCTAAATGTTTCAGTACATGTTTTCTAAAATGATGGATATTCTCTTTCATAACCACAGTGCAGTTATCAGGATCAGAAGATTAACCTTGAAATAACACTATTCTCTCACCTGTGGACCCTGTTCAGAATTTACCACTTGTCACAAAGAAAATCTTAGGTCACATGTTGCATATAGTTGTGCCTCCTGACTCCTCTAATCGGAACAGCTCTTCAGTCTTCGTCTTCCATGGCCTTGACACTCACAAACAACACAAATCAGTTATTTGGCCCTTAGTCTTTCATTATGAGATCCTCTAACTCTGCATGTTGCAGTAGTAACTTTGGTCCATCATCTGGGATCACTGGCAGTACTGACTTTGGTTGTTTCCATCTGATGTTTCAGGTGCTTTCTCTTCTTTATTAAAGTTTTTCTTTTTCTCTGGAATTAAGTATCCTGTAAAATTCTGTATTCATCAGATTCTCACCTTCCACTTGTGCTATCCACTAAGTGATCCAAAGGTAATTAAAGCCACCAGATACTGTATTACCATGAGGGTTCCATCACTCTTGCGTTTATTGGTTGGCATCATACTACAAAGGAGAGCATTCCTTTCCCATTTCTATCAGTATGGGTTCACAGAGTCCTGTTTTAATGAGTTATAATGTTACTGTCATTATTTTGATGTTCAAGTCAATCCTTTCATGCTGGTTCTTAGTACTTCGGACATGTGCCCATCTATTTTTAGTGCTTGTGTAGCCTTGGGCACATCCAGCTATTCTAAGCAAGAAAACTTTCTAAGCGACATAGACTAAGCAGTGAGAGAGACTATACACCAGTTCAGGCAGCAGGTGTCTCAGTACTGCATGACATGTCTGCAGAGAGAGACAAGTGGATCTCCAGCTCTTGGAAGTTTGTCCAGCTCCTTGACCTAGAGGCTTCACCCTGTGCAGTGGGTATAACGGCACACGGAACTCTGAGCTTGGTTTGCCTCTGAATTAGCTTGCTTCTCAATTTTTTCACATTTTATTTGATTAATAGGGAACAACAGAACCATCCAAAGTGAAGAACTGTAGTGAACTGCATAGGTTACAGAATTTTTACTTAATAACCTAGGGCCTTTATTTCAGATTATTAGAAATGTTTTCACAATTCAAAAGCAATTCATTCAGGTTAACACTTAGCTTCCTAGTTTCTTACATCTAACATATTAAAAGGAAGCAGATTTCTGCTCAATAAAGGACATAGGTTCCCATCAGTAATAGCTGCTGAATTGATTAACAGGCCATCTTGAAGCTGTCAGTCATTGGCGCTAACCATGCCCTGGTTGAAAACCAACTATTGACATAGCTGTAAATGGGTCCTTTCCTGTGAGAGATTGTATGTTAACACATTAACTGAAAACACTGCACTGCTAGAATAACTGAATTCCGGAAATAAGAGTGAGGAAAAATGTTCACTGTGATCAGAGGTTCCCAAACTTTGATTCATGATGTCCTTAGTGTTTTAGTAATTTCTTTAGCATGTCTGTATCGACCACAAGTTTCTTTTGTTACTTCTCTTGAAAGCTTGAAATATTCTGAGACACTGTGGTGCCAGACCACTGCAGCTCAGTTTTGAGGACTGTGACCATAAGCTGGAAATTAAAATTGTATATCCTCGTGACTGACCATTTAAATTTGTATATGTAAACATAGGAGAGAAACAGTAAAAGCAATTATGCATGGGTTATAGGTGATTAAAAAATATTTAAATCTTGAAATAATTTTACCCTCTGGCTTATTCCCTGATTCTTGGCCTCTGAGTATTACAGAGGTACTTGTTCTTAGTTTGCTGTGAATAACAAAAGCTTCCCTGGAACTCTTGGGCAGTGATAGTTGAAAACACTTTCAGGAACCTAGCCTTGTGTGATTGAAATGACTGTGCTCTCTTTCAGGACCATAGAATGTTTTGGCTGATCACGGGGATCATGTTCATGGGAAGTGGCCTCATCTGGAGGCGTTTGCTTTCGTTCCTTGGGAGACAACTAGAATCTCCTTTGCCTCCTCGGGTAAGATGGGTATGGTTTACAGCACTGTCTCAGAGAGTTAGAATCAGGGGCTCTGAAGTCACACAGCCTGGGCTTGAGTTGTCACAGGCTTTGTGACCCTGCACAGGTTACTGAATTTCTCTAAGCCTCCCTCAGTTTCCCTGTCGGTTAACTCTTCTCTTGCTTTATAGGATTATTGGGAGAATGAGATGATATGTTCAGCACAGTGCCTGGCACAACAAATAGATTTTGTTTAGAGCACTCTGGCAGGCAGGGTATATTTAGATAGATATTAGTACCTGTGGTGCAAGGTTTTGTCATATCGAAACTGAGGTGTAGAAAATGTTTATAGTGTTCTCATTAAGCAAAGTATAAAGCTTTCCTCCTGTTTTTCATTTTTGTATTTGAAGATGACTCCATGGAAATAAGTACTTAAGATGTTGACACAAGGCTTACAGTCCTTTCTTCTCTTATTTTACTAGTGGTTTTTATTTTAAGAAAGACCCAGACTAAAATTAAGTTTATCCTGCTTTATTTAGATGTCTTCTTTACCTAAAAAGACCCTTCTGTCTGACAGAAGGATGGAAGTGAAAAACAGCCTCAGGCCGGATGGACTTGGAGCAAGCAGAAATATCCTAACAACCCGTTAGCAACAACCTGGAGACTAAATATTTTTGTATACCTTTTTTTTTTTTTTTTTTGGTACCAGGGATTGAACTTGGGACCTTGTACTTGTGAGGCAGGTGGCGGAACCACTGAGCTAAATTCCTGGCCTTTTTTAAACTTCTGATACTGTTATAATTTCTTTTATAGTCACACACTTGAAAAAATCAATATTTAAATTACAATGTCTGATAATGTATGGCAGTCACAATTCTAGGATCTGATTGCATTTCCAGAATTCTGAGTAAACAGTTAAGCTTGTTTTGTGAAAGACCAAAAATCCTATTTCCTACAGACTTTAAATACTGTTTTTATAGATAGGATGTGGGGCATAGAGAATAATTTAATAGAAGAATAGACTTATATAGGGCCAGGGATTTAGCTCAGTGGCACCATGCCTGCCTGGCAAGCACAAGGTCCTGAGTTCAATCCCCAGTACCAAAACAAACAAAGAAGAGACTGATATAGACTTTATTTAATTTATACATAAAGAAAAGTGCAATCTCATGCTGAGCTAAGCCTCGAAGCTTTCAAACCCATGGTTTCTGAGGTCAGATATGGCAGTTCTTAATACAGGGAATCCTGTTCAAGTGAATTTGCTCACTCAGTTGCCTGAAGTGCTAGCATAATACTTCCTACCATTAAAACAAACTCTGGAAGTTTGTGCTTTAAAAACAATCCTTAGGCCGGGCTTGGTGGCACACACCTGTAATCCCAGCACTCGGGAGGCTGAGGCAGGAGGATTGCTGCGAGTTCAAGGCCAGCTTGGGCTGCATAGTGAGTTCAAAGTTAGCCTGAACTATCTAGCAAGACCCTGTCTAAAAAGAAAAAAAAAAAAAAAATCCTTGGCATAACCTTATTTTCTTGCATTTGCCCCCTTTTATATATATGGTAAATAAAAAGATAGAAGGATAATCAGCATTTCACTTTAACCCCTAAAACTTTTTCTTTGCTTGGCTATTAGTAGAGCTGTTGAAAGGAAGTGTTTCCATTCTGTTACCGTTTCATAGCTAATTTGTTGATTTTTTTGATTTCTAAAGATTTTTTAAATTATCTTTCCCAAAAGGAAAATGTGGACCAACTAATCTATATGTGTACACTTCAAAAGTTAACAGATGGGCTTCCTAAAACAAGAGAGTAGGTAAATGTTAGCATTCTGATACCTTTTTGTTTTCATAATAAGTTTGGTTTAAAACAAATGACTAATATTGACAAGTCTGAAAGCTGTATCTTAATATCTTACCTGCTGCTGTATATTTTCTGGAGGTTTGGTGCAGTCACATACTAGAGTGTTACAGTTAAACATGCCTCCAAAAGTATCGTGCACTGGAGAGTCTAGAATGACCAAAGCAGCCCTTGGACTACAGATGCAGTAGTAGGAAGAGAATAAATAGCCCTGCCCTGACGATGCTGATTCCTAATGTGATGAAGAAATTTAGGGGTCCGTTTACCAGGTGTTTTGGTGAGAGGATAAAAATGCTGCTCCAGGAGCTGAGTTTGAGACAGGATAAGGTTACAGATAAGGTTCCCTCCATCCTGTATGTGGCTGTGAGAAGCCTTTATTGGGAGGCTGGAGACTGATCAGAGGGGCATAAAACAGGCAGGACTGGCCTTAACCCACTTGGCACCCCCCGGGGGTCAGGCCAGGCCTCACGGTGGACACTGCAGTGGGAACGTGGACTACCTCCAGCGTTACAAAGCCTTATGATTGTCAAGATCACCTTTGAGAATCCGTGGAATTCACTTCACAGGCACCCTTCTTTAGCATGCCTCAAAATACTGCGCTGCTATTCTTGGCCTTACCAATGTAAAATAATAAATACTAACTGTGATCTATGAAGAATTGGAATCCCAGAGGGCAAAGTTTAAGAGCAGGCATAGGGTTGAATTTTGGTCATTTTCCTTCCTTAGTTTATGTGCTTGAGTAAAATAATTGTAATTGGTCATGCCCCAGTAGTAAAAGTAATGTAACTACCTCAGAAATTTGATAAATGGAAGTTATGGTTTTTAAAATTCTTGAAGGTGGTTAGATCAGGAATGATTTCAGAATATCAGCTAGCTCTGCCTGCTGATTGCAGAGTACTTCTTACAGTTCTTATGGATAATAAAACAGCCGATGCCAAACAATGCAGCTCATTGGTTGTAAATTTTGGAGTAAATAGAGAACTTCATTATTTAAAAGAAAAGTGGTACAATGCCAAACACTGAAAAATGTGAAACAGCAAGCACTTCATTGTAAACTGTAGCACTCTTAACAGTTGTCTCTAGGGGTTTCCCACCCAGTGTGGGCAGAATCGATGTCATTTGGGAATGCTGTTACCTCGTGCTTCTATCTTGATAAACACAGGCTGTGAAACAAACATTTAAGGGCTTCACGTTGAACTTATTTGTGACATGTTATTCCAAGAATTATACAGAGATTTTTGTTTTGGAATTAACAGTATTAAAGTCACAGTTTTGCCAGGCATAGTGGCACATACCTGTAATCCCAGTACTGGAGAGGTGGAGGCAGGAGGACCACTGCAAGTTCAAGGCCAACCTGGCTACATAGTTCAAGGTCAGCCTGAACTAAATAGTGAGACCCTGTCTCAAAAAAAATAAGTCACAGTTTAAACTTAGAATTTCCTCTCATTCCTTTAGCAATAGCTACAGCGGTGATCTAGAGGAGGATGTGTGGCCTAGGATCCCAAGACCTGAGCTTTGCTCCCAGGCTCACCTCAGATCCTTCTGATTTCTGAGTCTGTGATGCAGAGACATAAAACAATGCCAGTCCTGAAGCTTTGAAGAAAGTTGTTAGAAGTACAGATAAAAAATGGAAATATATAAATATCTCATGATACCTTAAAATGAAGGTAACACCAAGGTGAATTGTGGTACATGTTCAGATTTGTGTGAATGAGAAAACCCTACACGTCTTTCCATTTTAGTTATTAAGCACTTCACAGTCAGTGGTTACAACTACAGTTAATATTTAGTAGAACCAGGATGGGGATTTAGCTCAGTGGTGCCGCCGCCTGCCTTACAAGTGCAAGGTCCCAAGTTTGATCCCCGATACCAAAAAATATATATATATTTAGTAGAATGAAAATTTTATCTACTTATTGAGATAATACAGTAGTAGACTGTCTTTTCTGAATATCAAGTTTTTACATATTTATCATGTAGGCTAACCAGCAGGAGTATAATTTTTTTTTGACAGAGGTATGGCTAAATATCCTATAAACTTAGAAATGTGCTCCCATTATTACAGATTTTTAACCTTTCCCTTATGCTTGCCATCTGGTACGTTCAGGCATTGAGAAAAATGCGAATTCTGAGATCACTAATGGTCAAGTTTAACACATTCCCACTTGTACTTCAGAGCTGCCCAGCAGCAAGACACATGAATTACAACCCCATCGTGAACATGTTAAACACAGACCTTATCATTTAGTGAAGCATAAAAACACTGACACTTACAGAGCAATGGCAACATGAAAGTATGCATCGTCCTGCCGAGCAGATACAGTACTGAGAGAAATGTACCTTCATCATGTTCTACACTCAGATGGCTCAGCTTGTAAGTGAATAAACTAAGTAATTTCTGGTCCCCTAAAAATCTTTTAAATTAAAATAATTCTTTACATTGGTTGAGCTCTTGGTACTTAGTACCCAAGCCAGACACTGTATTTGCTGCTGTCCCTTGGGGCGTGTGGCTCACTTCCATCTGGAAACAAGCAACACAGCTGTAACTTTTTCTGCGTTAACCTACTCTTCATACATCTCAGCCACAGTAGCTTTTCCTTGCTTTCTGATTTAACTTTTCAGCTAAATTTTTCTTTCTGGCTCCTCCTGCTATCTAGAGAAGCTGAGAAGGGCTCCTGTCCTCGACTCTCCTGCCTGTAATAGTTCACCAGTGTCAGAGGAAGGACCTTCTCTCAGTGCAAAACAAGCTGGTTACTGTAGCTGTCACACCTGTGGACTCTAGTGAGGCTGAAATGCTGTGTGCATTTCCTTTCCCTTAAACGCTCCACACCAAAGGACTGGCCCACAAACCGCCTACTGAAAACAGTCCAGAGCAAGTGAGCCCGAGGCCCACATCCCTCTGTCCCTCACTCCTTGGTCCCTTTCAGTAGCCCCTGGCTCAGCCCAGACCTCTCCTGCTGTAGTCGTGGCATGACGAATGGCCACCTAGCACAAGGAGAGCCCTTCACGGCATGACTGAACTCTGGCAGAGCCGAGAGGTCCACCACCGGTTAGAATAGCCATCTCCCCAAAAGTTTCTGAGGGCACAGAAAGTTAACCAAGTTTTAGTTTTACATTTGTCATTCACTGTATAAAACTTAGAAAATAGAATAACCATTGTCAGAAAGGACCAGATCACAGTAAGTGCTGTGGATTATCCCTCACCCCACACTTTTCTCCACTGTTTCTCCTCCCTCGGGTTTATTTCTGTTGGTCTGCTTCCTATCCCTGTGACAAAATGCTAGAGTAGACAGCTTAAAAGGAAGAAATACTGCTGTGGCTCTAAGTCTGAGTTTGTCCACGGTCAGCTGGCCTGTAGCTTTGGGCCTATGGTAATGCATACATCATGCAGAAGCATGTGGCAATGAAGCAGTGGGGACCTGGGGTCCCAAGACACCCTTCAGGCCTCACTCCCAGTGGCCTGCTTCCTCCCTCCAGGCCCTGCCCCTACCACCTCCACTACCTCCCAATAGGGCCACCAGTAGGGGCTGAGCCTGCAACATGAAACATTCAAGATCCAAATTCTAACAGCAAGGAAAGGGGAATTTTAGAAGGAACTGTGTGAATTTCCTCGGCGATGACCAGAGGGCCCATCCACCATCGGAGGGACAGGTGTTCAGGCTGTATGACAAGCAGGTCAGCGCACAGACAGTAGGCTAGGAAATAAGAAAGGCTGAGATACAAAGGAAGCAAGGAAGGACACTTGAGAAGAAGACAAATAACCAGAGTGTCTGCTATTTCACAAACTTCTGGTGGAGTCGTTTATTTCCAGAGGATTGTGGATTTACTTCAGGAGCCCCATCACGGCTTTGCTGGATGTGCCAGCTTAGCCACCAGGACGCTCACCCTGGAGACAACTTGGCAGGAGATGGAAGTGGAGTGAACTCTAGCTGAGATTATAGACATGCAGTGCCCCAGAGAGCCGAGCTCCCAAAGAACTCCTTCCAGCAGCAATGACAACTTGGTTCTGTAGGAGACACAACACAGAATTCATGAGTTGGTCATGACATCTGCCAAGTTCCTACTGCGGTCTAGGCAGTGTGCTGTGCTCTGGATCTACGGCACACTGGCCAGATCCCATGGTGCAGGTGTAAATGCCCCTCTCCCTGTTTGGCTACCACTTTCTGGATCTGCAGGAACCACAGCTGAAGAAGTTCACCCAGATCCCCTCTGTCACATAAAGGATAAAGGAAAACTACATCAATGCATGCTTATCCTGGGGTCTTTGCTGTGTGGTACAATGTAGACAACATAGGTGGAATACTAAAGACTTCCCTTATTGTATTCACATGTTCTCACTGCTGAAACATTTTAGCACCAATCTTTTGAAGCTGCCTTCAATACCTGCTACAGGTAGTTAAACACTTAGTGATCTTGCCGAAATCCTCACACTGCCAAGCGTGCTTCATGAGGTATGTATGGGTGATCAAACAGGCTGACACTGTTTGGTTAGAGAAAGGTGTGATGGTTTCTCACTGACTTAAATTTTGAACACTCCTGATAGAATGCAGAAATAATAATGGCTCAAATGTGTCAAGTCTTTACTATGTGTCAAATTCTAGGCTTAGCCCTTTGTACTATCTTTCAATACCCCAGTGTCAGTTAAGAGAAAAAAATCTAAATTTTCAGAAAAGTTAACCAAGTAGTAGCAATTTCTTCTCTTCCCATACTTATAGATGTACTGATTTATTAAATGTGCTTATACTTTGGCTATGATCTCAACCTCCTTTCCATTTCCAGGTCAAACCATCCTGATTCCTAAAATGATATCCTCTCTAGCTGCTGTCCTCTGCCCATCTGAGTCTTAATTTTCCCAGGTACAGCTCAGGGGCCATGGCCTCAGCAAGGCCTGTCCTGATCCCCAGCACAGATTTCCACTGCAGGCTCTTGGTTAGCTAGCATACATTGACATCAGTGGTCTCACCGTGCTGTTTTATTCTTTCACCTAAACTCAGCACTCCTGGGGGCCAAGTCCATGACCCAGGTTTCTTTGCCTGCCTCTCTGGTGCTCAGTGTAACACTGCTTGTTACACGTGCGCATAGCCCTTCCCTGCTGAGGCTCACAAGCCCACTGATGCAGGCGTCACAACAAGGTTCAGAAACATGAGTCAATGACAGCATTTTGTAGTGCGTGCTGAGGCCACCTAACTCTAGTTTGCTGCCGCCAGCTACATAATGGCTCGTTTATCCTAGAAAGGAAACAGTTCTCAAAATCATAACTTTTACTCAAGTCTCAAAGAAAGGCCACTCTTGGCCGGGGATTTAGCTCAGTGGTTCCACTGCCTGCCTCGCAAGCACAAGGAGCTGAGTTTGATCCCTGGTACCAAAAAAAAAAAAA